ATCCGCAAAATTCGTCGCAGACACTGTTGATGGAACCGCTCGAGATATCGCATATCCCGACGGTACATCGTCCACGCTTCACTGCCGTATAGAAGAACGGACAGCACCATGGATTTGTACACCATCAGCTTCGTACCAATGCTAAGCTGATGGTTGTTTCACACTCGGTACTCAAGCTTCCCGAATGCCGCCGCTGCCTTTGACACGCGAATATGCAACTCAACGTGTAGCTGCTGATCAGTCGATATCACACTCCCAAGGTAGCAAAAGCGGGAGGTGGTTTCCAATACTTCAGCACCAATGCTGATTTGCAGCAATATTGAAGATTGCACCTCCGGTGAAGGCTGAAAGAGACAGACAGTTTTGCTTGTGTTGATGGTGAGCCCGAATTTGGCCGCTGTCGAAGCCAGAGCACTAGTCATGTGCTGCAACTCATCCGCGCTGTGTGAAAACAACGCACAGTCGTCAGCAAACAGAAACATACGGATAGTTGTCTCACAGAGTAGAGTTCTCGCACCGAAACGACGGATGTTCAGCAACCCACCATCAATACGGTGCTCCACACGAACACCGTAAGCACAAGCCGCATCAAAAGCACGAGACATCATTGCATGAAGATAGATACTAAACAGGGCAGGAGCTAAGACACAGCCTTGCTTCACACCAGAGACAACTGCAAAGTCATCCGAGGTCTCTCCACTCAGCTGCACCCTCGCTCGCATACTACTGTGCAGACATCCAATTAAACTTACGAACTTACGCGGGCAACCAAACTTACCCAACACCAGTCACAATGCCTCGCGGTTCACCGTATCAAATGCCTTGGTGAAATCAACAAAAAGCGAGTACAATGGCTGGTACCGGTCTCTGCACTTCTCTTGCAACTGACGAGCCGCAAACACCATATCTATAGTGCTGCGACCCGAACGGAATCCACACTGCTCTTCCGCCACGTTAGGTTCCACAATCTGACTCACGAGGCGATTGAGCAAGATTCGGGCAATCACCTTGCCCACACAACTCAGCAAGTTGATGCCACGATAATTCGTGCAACATTGCTTGCTCCCTTTGCCCTTGTACAGTGGTAGCACAAGGGCATCCTTCAGCTTAGCAGGCACCTCCTCCTCAATCCACACGCGATGCACCAAGTGGTGCAGCGCAGTCAACAATGCGGGTCCACCATGTTTCAATACTTCAGGCGGGATCCCGTCGGCTCCGGCACACTTGCCGTTTCGCAGCTGAGCAAGTGCTCTCCGCGTCTCATCCAGTCTCGGCGTATCCGCCAGATCCGCCTTCACATCGTGCTGCTTCAGGCCATTCAATGTAGGCCAGTCGATTTCTGAACGGTTGTTCAAGAGACAGTCAAAATGTTTCCGCCAGACCTGCATTATGTCTGCAGTCTGGGTGCAGGTAGCGCCTGAACTACCATCGATCAGTGTCCTCAGCGGCTCCAATCTCGGTCCATACACCGCCTTCAAATAGTCAAAGAATTCCTTGTGTTGGCGGCGTTTGGCGTAGCATTCCATCTGCTTCGCCTTCTCCGTCCACCATGCATTTTTAATGCGACGGAGCTCTCGGGTCAGTCGCCGTCGAAGTTTGCGAAACTGACTCTTCTTTCCCAAGTCGCTGGGATCTGCAACATGTGCAGCAAACGCTGCATTCTTCTCCGACACCAATGCGCCAATCGTCGCATTGTTGTCATCAAACCAATCAGGCCGTTTACAGTTTGCGCGCCCGATGGCCTCCTCGGCAGCAGCTGTCACCTGATCGCGAATGTGGTGCCACAGGTCGCCCACTGTGGCTATGCAGTCCACATCACACAGGCGTGCAGCCATCGCCTTCTCCAGCTCAGTACGTTTCGCCACAGTATCGAGGGAGAGAATGTTAAATTTACGCCGATTCACGGCGGGAGTGCAATACATCGATTTACGAAAATATATGTACAGTTTGGTCCGAACCAATTTGTGATCAGTGCCACACTCAGCTCCACGCAGTACACGTGTCATGCGCACTTCACGCATATCACGCTCACCTACGATGACATAGTCGAGCAGGTGAGCGTGACCACTCCGTGGGTGCGTCCAAGTTGCTATATCACTCGCACTCAGTGCAAACCGAGCGTTCGTGATCGTCAGGCCGTGAGTGGCACACATTGAGAGTAGCCTGTCACAGTTCGCATTCGCGGAACCAATGCCATGCGCACCGATAACATCTGTCCACGCTGATGCATCACGCCCAACGCGCGCGTTGAAATCACCCAGCAGAAATAGTCGGTCGCTCCTCGGCACAGACCGTATCACGGAGGATAGCTCAGTGTAGAACTGATCACGCGTGTCATCAGGATAACTCATGGTCGGACCGTACGTGCTTATAAAAGTAGCAAACTTACCTCTTCCGAGTCGTAGGCGAACAGTCATCAGTCGCGCGCTGATGCCCGTTGGTTCACCCATGAGCTGATCATGGAGGCGATCGGATATTGCAAATCCGACCCCATGTTTACGTGGTGCTGAGGCGGCGTTCCCCACCCAATAGAATGTATAGCCAGCACCTGCTTCATGTATATATATATATATATATATATATATATATATATATATATATATATATATATATATATATATATATATATATATATTATGCAGCACCGAGGCGTAAGGATGCAACTATGCAGACCTCTGGTAGAGGTGGCACGGTTTGAGGATTTCATGGAGCGTTCAAATTTGATCCATACACTCGGCAAGGCAGAAGACAGTTTGTTTTGCTGGTACTGCGATTCACAAGTCGCGGATAGTCTACGAAGTAGTATGGATGCCAATGGCTTGAAGGCAACCGAGATGACACTAATTCTCCGGTGAATTGCGTATGAAGTGTGAGCACTCTCCTTAAAAATCGAGACAACAACTGATTCGCCCCAGGAAAGAACCTTTCCTCATTCCGGATCTTTGAGAACAATGAGGTAAGGTGGCTAATGATAACTACACCTCCATAGTTGAACAGCTTTGAAGGAAATCCGTCTGAGCAGGCAACCTTGGATCTCTTCAAGTGTAGAATCGCCAGGCAAACTTCTGCTTCGATGTATGGGTCAAGTGTGACAACCCAGGGCGAGCAGCTGGGTCCGCAGGGCATACAAGTGAACGATGATGGCATACTGAACCGGGTATGAAAATGTTCGGCCCACCGATCCCAGCGCTTCCGCAGATTAGTAATCGGCGAACCATTCGCTTCGCAAATAGTCTTACTGGCCAGTGGATCGAATGAGCTGGAAGAGCTTGCGAGTATTACCATAGAGAACAGTGGTCCCTAATTCCGCATCTGTTCATACATCACAAAGCATCCCGTTACCAGAGACTGGGCACACTAAGCCACGATTTATCGTGATCACTCCAAGTGAATAAAATATCTAGGCGACTTTTCTTTTGCGTCTTTCAATTACGATCATCCCACGAACCACACAATTTGATTCTGAAGTTTATTGCAGCGTGTATCCTGCCACATTGGGCTTACTCATCTCTAATGATTTTCCCAGGCCCATTGTGTAAATAGTTAAAGATGTTCGACGCACCACTAAAACGCTTGTCTCGCTGCAGCGGCATTCCAAAACCAACGCTAGCTCAAACAATCGTATCGACGCACGCCAATTCCTGCTAGAAACTTGCTTCGAAAATAATCACCGACATTTGCCATCTTCTTCACATTTCATTTCTACCTCATCGACCAGACAGAAGTACGGAGCAACACGTGTCAGTACTAGGGCATATGGTTCATCGGTCATTCCCTATCTAGCCAGAGTACAATTTGACCAAAACGTCATAATCCAAGAACTGGCCGGTAAATTTTGCCAGGGAGGTTATGGTTTTCATTGAGACATTACCTTTGCTGTTGGTCTGAGCTATTAAATTACATTTTTATCACCTCGATAGTATGTGTGTTACGGATGAAAATGCCCTTGTCATGGGTGCATAAAAGCGCATTCTTGACTTGATTTGCTTGATAGGTTCTTTGGACCAATGGCGCAGATCACCTGGAAGGGTCTGCGGTAATTGCTTAATGATCCGGCCTCCCCCAATTGCCGAGCCCTTTGCGTTTATCAGGATTCCTCATCAACGAGCCGGCTCCATTTTGGCTATCACCCGATGGTCTGTAAAGAAACGCCGTGTTTGATGTCTATAAATGTTTCTCATTCATTACAACAAGTTCGCCGATCTTTCGAATAGCCAGTAGCTAAAACGAAACATCAAAATCTGTGAAGCATCAGACGGAATATATGATGCGTTGCTGTGCTCACAACGAGAATGGAAACGGACAGCAAACAGTAACTTGTAACCACAAAGAGGAAACATTACATCGCAACATTCAGAAATACCACTGAACATAAGAGGGCACCGATTAGTTTTACAGTGGGTCGTAACATAGTATCGAAAGGTATGGCTACAGTTAGCCAATCAAACAAAGTGGAGCATAGAAGATATTGCGTAACAGACTATCCATACAACCAGAGAGTGGAGTGCCAGCAAGTGAAAATAACGCAGATTGCCGGAAGTACCAAAATGTATGAAGGTTAATTTAACAAGGAGAGAAAATGCCTCTCACCGGATGAGAAACAGTGCACATCTAAGATCCCACTACTCATAGGGAGGATATGATGCCTGTGTGGCCACTGTTCAGAATTTTAGGTAGAATGGTTTGCAAGTAGACGAAAAAACGCCAAACCGCTTCCAATTCAACCAAAACGATAGTTGGCATGCACCTGACGCCACAAAATTGGAATAATGTGCGCATGTTATGTAGAGATGCTCGGCTAACAGCATTCGGCGGTTCGCCAGTTGGAGCTCAGCGCAAGTTGGTGTAGACTGCACTGTATCAATGTGCAACTCGAGCTGAGAGTGCTGTACCGCTGTACATTGCAAAGGTAGCCGATTTGCTATAGATCAGGTCGCATAGTGATTCAAGTGGTGAGAACGCAACCTTTTCCCCTCTGGCTCAAGTCCCCGCGCTCGCAGTGTTTCAGCCCGTTTGCGACATTTCGCAGTTACATGGTAGAGAAGCAGCAGTAAGGAGTAATGGTGTATTGCTGATGCCCAACCCCCTATAAGTCCTGAACTCGTGACTGAAACAAAGCGATTGAGAGGTAAGGCAAACAACTGTTGCGCAGAACTCTGACCACGGACAACGATGCGAGCTGTACCGAAATCGAATGAGGATAGGAAAGGCAGCAAACGATCAAGTGTCTGTTGTGACAAGCAGAGACAGAGCTTTATTGATAAGGAACACGAGAAATTGAGGGTCTAAAGAAACTAAGTTATTGATGTTCGTTTTCTTTGTGCTGCGCCCCGTTGGGAAGGACAAGAGGATTCGGTTGATGGTAATGCTGAGGAGCCGGTGTCAAAGCAGGAGAACCCCCGGGATATTGCTCAGAAGTTGCAACCAATCCACTTGGGTTAAGCATGGTGGGTGGGTAATTGTTCATAGGACATTTTTCTGCCACCTGACCACTAGTTAAGCCAGGTGCAGGCGCTAAATTGGTGGTCGTGGTGTGTGGAACGTTGGTATACATAGTTGCTGGCTGAGATCCAGATGAATGGTTTACGGCAGAATTTGGAGCTGAATTAATTGCTGAAGGATTCGAACTAGACGAGGATTGAGGGTTTTGATGGTTATTGGTGGCAGCATGAGCTGCGGCACTATCGGCGATGGTGGCCAAATAAATGAGGTTTCGATGGAGAACCTGCTGCAGTTCGGACGCCTCTCGAACAGCTCCACATCGCTGATGGGCCATCAAGCTGTGGATCAAGCGGACATTTTCATCGAGCATCTGGGGGAGAACAATGGATAACGCACGTTAACAGATGGACAGGATTTGAATTAAAGCTGAGAACATGCTAACAGCCAATAATAAACCTCGGTCAACATAGCACAACAAAATACGGGGTGACACGTGGTGACTATCAAAGGTAAACGGCAAGATGTGCAGATTCGAACAAATGAAAAAGAAAGATAGCGTGATGGGTTAGCACTCAGACCCGATGGCTCAAGCGTTAAATTAATGCACTGTGAATGAGTTGGCAGTTTAGATAGCATGCAAACTTCCGGTCTATCCATGGCGTTGAATATCATAGGCAACTAACCGCAATACAACTCGGCTGAAAAGAAAGATTAAGGACAGAAAGTCGAATCAGCTGCAAGACGATTGATTCGTTCATTTACTACCTCACCTAACGGTGGAAACAACTAAGTGACTATGCCGCAGTACAGAGTAATTTGTCGGCTGGCGGATGTAGATACGAGTCATGTCCCGTAACCCAAAGATCATCGGTACGAGTCTGGGTAGGCGCGAGTGACCCGGCGATATCCCTAGACCTCAAGCGACTAGTGATGTTCGCTTAGTTCAAGCGGGACTGGAAAGATAAGATTATTCCGTGAGTGTTCCTTTTTCAGCAGGATGTTGAACTAGGAAATGGTGAAGGGCTTTGAAATCAGATGGACCTAAAACATAGACAGCATCAAACCCTGACCCCCGTACCCTGCACTACGATGCATCGGCGTATGTCTGTGGACTTTCTTCTTGCTAGAAAGCAAACAAATGGCTAAGAAAGAAAACACAAAACAAACAATATCGTGCCTGGCTTTTTATATGTACTAGGGATGCGACTGCAGTTGAGGGGCAAAAAAGCAACGCATTCTACTAAGGTCTGCTCCTGGCCATGTAAACAAATGCCTCCAATCAAACATGATGGGCGTCTTTGTTAACCCAACGCGAATGTCGGGGGAAACCAACAGATGCTAATTACTAAGTAAGAGTTACCACTCCTGTTGAATAAGTCAGCACCTGGACTCCTCTCACATTGTTCTGACCAGACCCCGGTAGTGCAAACAACGCACATTGTGGGAGTCGGTGCACCGACATGTGTAACACATAGCCTACCCATAAGCGCCTAGTGCATGGAATAAGTGTTGGACGGTTCGCTCGCCCTTCTGCACTAGAGGCAAGACGACAGACATGAGCACTGTGCAGACAATGTGCCCACTATATTCGAGTTAAGCTGCGAAGGCACGGTGGTACTTGAAGTTCGTCTTTTTATCAACTAACCACAACGACCGGATCGACTTCGGGGACCATAAAGCACGAGTGTTAGAATGCAACTAGCCTCTTTAGCTTCGGTGGGCCAGGCAGGGTAATCGTACAGAAGGGTTGAGCGGACGGCATCATTGTAAGCGCGACCCCTCAGGGCCAGAGTGATGCCCGGCCGGTGCCACAAGTGGCGTAGATTAACAAAAGCGCCTCGAACTTTCCCTATACGATTCGAATCCAACCTCACCTTCACAAGAGCTGATACAGTTCAGTTGATCAACTATGATCCGAGCACCCAAGTGCGGTGGATCTGGCTGCCACAACTAGCATCGCAAGAATAACAATAAATAACAACGATCAGGTAGTGGGGTTGAACGCAAATAGAATGCAGAGAAAATGAAAGAAAGAAGACAATGCGTTAGACTAATCAGAATAAGGCGAAAATTAACAACCAGGTGAAACAAGCCGAATGCACGAACGCCACTGACTTCGTGACAGCGCCATATCTGACAACGACTCTAAATATTGGTGTGGACCGCCACGAGATCCCCATTCAGGAAGACGGCACGAACCAGCCTGACCAAGTCTCTAAGTCAAGGTCTTCAAGCTGATACAGCTACCCAGGTGTTATGTGAACTTCTCATTACTCGTTTATATTAATCTTCCCGTTGTTCATTTAAGCCTACTTACCTCAGTTGCTTGCTGAATAAATCCTATGCTCCCGGGCTCACAGTTTTCTCACTCGTCGTATTCCGATTCGTGCGACTCCATTACAATTTATTCAGTAAGCAATGGACCGAATCCTTCGGCCAGAACGTTTCGATGCTAATCCTAACAAGCGAACTCGGCGAAGCAGTAGACTCATTGGTTTGATACATTTACTCATTTGTTAAACACTGTTGATTCACTATTGTTCAGCAAATTGAGGATTCTGGCGAACTATGTTTCACTACACTAAAAAGTGCGCAACCTACGAACTCACTATCGAAACTCTCAGGATACAGATCAGGCCGAAAAACGAGATCTTTGCACGTCATGTTCTAGCTAGTAGTAAACAACAGGTGGACGAGACTCTGGACAACTTCATGCAGTGGTTGAAATCACTGACCTAGGATTGTAATTGCATTCGGTCACGGCAGAGAAGAACCGGGAAGACGCCATTCGGGATGCGTTCACAACTGGGCCTCAAACGCAGGCGATACACCAACGTCTTTTGGAAAACGTGTCACTCAATCTACGTGCCGCCTTTGAATAAGCCCGATACTTTGAGATGGCCTATCGTCAGTCATAGTCAGACCAATCAGAAAGCTCTTGTGGCGCATCTACCACATGTCAATCAGCACCTTTGCAAACGTCAAGTGCATCGTTAGTCCAAGGTAACAATGTCGCCGCTACTATATCGAATAGCAAACGTTTCTTCTGCGGGTTCAACAGGCATAGCAGATGTCAATGTCCTGCTCGCAACGCCGTTTGCAACGGTTGTGGAAAGAAAGGAGATCATCAGAAAGTTTGTCGTTCCTCATCCAAAAAGACGACTTCGGCGCTCCATGGTTGCACATCTTCGATCATTGTCGCAGCAGCACCAAACAGCCCCTCCCACACCGTCATCGATGCACTTATCAACAACGTTCCTCTAAAAACTTTGATTGATACCGGAAGCTTTGAGAGCTATATTTCCGTATCAGTTGCCAAACGATTCAACTGGAATGTTCTCGGTTCTCAGTAAAATTTCGATGGTCAGCACTCACTTAACCAGTTTCACTAGTGGTCATTGTCTTGTCAAGATACGGTATAAAGACCGTCATTACACAGACGTTAAACAGTCCGTACTTGCAAATCTTTGTTCAGATGTATTATTGGGATACGATTTCTTAAGCTTCACCAATTTGTTCTTTGGTGAACAACCCCCTCTACTTGTGTACACTATTGGCCACTGATGTAGATCCTCCATCCCTGTATAGGAACGATGCTTCCGCTTTCAAACCGATCGCGACAAAATCGAGGCGTCACCCTACTGCGGAGGAAAAATTTATTCATATAGAAATACAGAAGCTTCTTAATATATATATATATATATATATATATATATATATATATACACAATCTGTGGTACAGATATTGTGCCATCGGAATCATGGCTGAATAGGAAAACAATATGAATAATAAGAAAAGAGCAACAAGAAATGCTTTTTTTGTCAAGTTTACCACTCACAGTTTTTGAAATTTTTTTCAGTTTGTTCTTTTTTAGGGGGAGGAAGAAGGGACACCGCAACACACTGATGCACACGTCCGCCACTGACATCGATCTTGAGCCATAACTTCCAAGGTCTTCAACCAGCAAGTATCCTCATCTCTCGGACCCCAACCAGGTAGTCGACAACAACCGGCCGAGGCCAATTGTTTCGTCAACTTTTTCATGCGGCTTCTCCATGTTGTAGGCTGTCCACCAGACCGTCTCTTCCAGCCCTGTCCAGCAAGTGCAAACAACGCACGACGGGGGTAACGCTGGACAGGCATGCGCAATACGTGTCCCAACCACCGCAGTTGATGCAGTGAGATGAGCTCCTCGAGCGAGTGGCTTCCACGTCCCAAGACACGCTGTATAACTTCCACATTGCTTACGTGGTGCTGCCACCACACACGGGCAATGGACCGCAGACAGCGGTGCTCGAAGACGGATAGCCTGCGCAAGTCATCTTTACGAATGGGCCAGGTCTCGCATCCGTACAACAGTACAGCACGAACAGTTGCACAATAGACCCGCCCTTTGATGGAGAGACGAATGTCGTGGCGACGCCACAAGGACGGTATCGTTGAATCATCGGTATCCCCGTGGCAAGCTCAGGTTTTAGTAACTACGAACGAGACACACAAACGCCGCATGGTTGTAGATTACAGTCAAACCATCAACAAGTACACTCATCTGGATGCGTGCCTCCTGCCTAGGATTGACGTCCTTATCGACAGAATTTTCGTCAATCGGTGTAAAGCACTTCAGAACTGAAGAGCGCATATCATCAGATTCCTCAGGACAAACGAGAAGAAATTCACCGCATTTGAAGCCTGCGGAAATCTCTTCGGTGTAACCAATGAGGTCGCTTGTTTCCAAAGTCATCGATAAGGTGATAATTAACGAGAACTTGGACGCGACATTCGCCTATGTTGACAACATAAGCGTGCGGCGCAACCGAGGAAGAGCATAACTGCAATCTAGCAAAGCTTTACGAAATCGTTCGAAAATACAACCTAACATTCAATGAGAGCAAGAGCATCATACGTTCGAGGAAAATACGACTATTGGGGTACGAAGATCCACACGAGGTCTTTCAATCAGACCCAGACCGACTTCAACCTTTAAGGTACCTGCCCACACCACCTCAACAGCGTGTTGTGGGACTTTTTGAGTAGTATTCCTAATGGATCACACATTTCGCCGACAAAATTCGCCCGTTAATCGTTGCTTCCCCTTCACAATTTGGTTCTTGAGCCGTTCGAAAAGATCAAGGAAGAGATAGAAAACTCGATTGTAGTCTCTATCGATTATTTCATACCCTCAGTCATTGAAACGGATGCATCTGATATTGCTATTGCCGCTATACAAACACAGAATGGACGACCGATTGCTTTCTTCTCTCGAAGGCTGACCGCCAGTGAACGACACCATTCTGCTATCGAGAAGGAGGCAGCTTAGCTCATGTCTGGTGGGAACACCGCGTGAGCAATGAGCGTGTTCGGCGTCGCGTATTTGGTACAAGAAGAGCGAGTGAACCGCTCAGCACGATTATATCACGCACCAGGCTCCGATGGCTGGGCCACGTGTTGCGCATGCCAGCACACCGACTCCCACGACGTGCTTTGTTTACGCGTTGTGGGTGCGGTTGGAAGAGGAGGAGGGGAGGCCAAGTGATGACTTGGTCGAGAGAAATGAAAACCCTCACTTCGAAGTTGGCGTCGGTTGGTGCATCCCGACTGCCTGGTTGGGGTCCTAAGGACGGTGAACACGTTTGGTTGGACACACTTGCTGATATGGCTAGGTGCCGGCCCCAATGGCGTTTGTGTTGTGAGTTCCTTTGTCCATCCCCCTCCTGTTTAGCATCCCCCTCCAATCACGATCTCAATCGTTTGGCATAATATGACTTTCTTTTACGGCAGCCAGCTGTTAGCTCTCCGGAACGATGTCCATCCGTTACTGGGGACTCAGCGGGCGTGCCACTGTTTGTTGTTGTTGTTTTTTCTTCTTTTCTTGCCTTTTGTATTGCGGCACAATAGCTGAGGTGTTTTCCACCTCCAGCTAACGTGTAATGATGATGATGATGATGATAAGTGGCTCAGAAGCCCCGATCGGTAAGGTACAGAATCTTCCGTAGTTCATTTACCTTCCAAAAGACTCATTCATACATACAACAAAGGACACTCAGGTGCCCCAAACTGATCCCGTTTGTTCACCTAATCTTTCACATGTTTTTGAGCAACAGCAAAGAACGCGAGCATAAAAGTTGCGTAACTGTGAGGCCTAAAAAACTGTTCCATTTATCCACTAGTTAATAATTGGGTCGAGGAGAATGTTATGTGAACTTCTCATTGCTGGTTTATACTAATTTTTCCGTATTTCATTTCAGCCTACTTACCTCAGTTGCTTGTTGAATAAAGCCTATTCTCTCGGGCTCATACTCTTCTCACTCGTCGTATTCCGACTCGTTCAATTCCATGACACTAAGTAGTTAAATTCATGAACGAATTCCACGTGATCACCAATAATGGTTTACGCAAGAGATGGTCCGTGCCAATCCTGCTAGAACGTCCGCAATTTGAGGGTGTGAAGCACGGTCCGAAACGATGGACAACTAGTGCCGATATCTCCAGTGTGGCCTGACAGGTTTGTAAGCCGTGACACATTAGGGCAATAAAATCGGTGCATTCCAAGTCGGAATTCGATTACCTGGAACTTTACGTCAAGTCCGATGAATGCAATCTCCATAACTGCATCAAAGGCGAAATTAAAGGTGACAGTGGGCATCACTGTCTCACACTGCCGGAGACAGTGAATAACGCGCACCAGTTCAACCCATGTTCTCACTCTTCCCGAAAATGAGAGCGTAAAGTGGTCTTATAAAATTAACGTATTTTTCCGACATACCTTTCCTAATCTGGTATCCCTAAAGAGCACATAGATTTACCGAATCGAAGGTAGCTTTAATGTCAAGAAACACGATTAGGGTTGGTTGCTAATGTACGCGATAGCGTATCAACAACTGAAGTAAAGCAAGGATGTGATCAATACAATATAGATGTCGACTAGCTCTGGCTTGCTCCTCGCGAATCAGACTTTTATGAGCAACGGTTAGTTTATGAAGAAAGACAGGAACGAGCAAAATCAGTTGGACAAATAAGTGATAGCGCACAATGGAAGGATACGCGACTCTATTTACCGTTACTGTGGTGCTGTTCCAGTGTCTAAACGTACATACTAACAATATGAGACAGCAAACGTCGGTCAGCGGTTGTGTGACGCAGGACATATAACGCATTTTCGTCACTCAGGCCAGAGAATATTAACCATTGCTGATGGGACATTTATTAGCACGTCAGAATATGCATCCTTAAAACCTTTAGACGACGAGCATTGTTTGACTTTGTCGGATCTTGCAAATAACGGGCAATTGAAATGCAGAAGAGGAGTTGATTCTAAAAGTCATCATCATCGTCAACAATACACGTTAGCTGAGGGTGAGAAATACACCTCAAATAATGTGCTGCAATGAAAAATGATAAGATATAAAACAGTACAGAGTACAAAACTAAAAAATAATGTAATGATATATAGCATATGACGCATTCGGTATGAGATTGTCGTTGAGGAAGGAAGCTGAAGGGGGGAATGGGACCAAGAAGCTCGCAACGTAAACGCCAATGAGATCGGCTTTTCGCTATGTCAACAAGTGTATCCAACTAGCTCAATTTAGCCGTATGGATCGGATTATGTCAGATAAAAACGTGGTAACTGCACAAATTATCTGCAACAAGGATAGTACTGCTAGGCTCCTGTTTAGTTCGACTGTCATAGCTAGCGTTCAAAATAAGCACATGGGTAGACAGTGATTAACAACCCGTAAAGCAAAACGTTGAAGTGTTAAGGAAACGCTTCTGTGGTTCAATACGGCTTAAGGATACATGCAACAGGCCGGAGTCTCGTTCCACCACGTTAGTAAACCGGCTTTGAAGCCGTACAGATTGGTACCCCTTAGGTAGAACCCATATGTTTTAGAGGAACAGGTAGTTGCATGGGTTTTGAAATTCATATGACCGCTTCTTGACATCATAGCCGAAGGAGCTAATCCGTACTTAGGTTAATCTAACCACAGACGTCAGCAGCAGCTCAACACCATGGGAATGCAGACGATAATCTAAACGCCAATTTTTGGGTTCCGGAGTGTCCACCATTTATTTGGATTGCGACAGGCAATCCCAATTGAAGTCACGGTTTACTTTCAAGCAAAATTCTAACATTTCGATTTAGGAGACTGCATCGCTGCTGCTCTTTCCAAACACTGCATTCCCTTCTCTGTTTCGTCCTGATGTGGACACTTTCGGTGGAGATAGCCCAAACCCGGCACACGGTGCTTGACAACCTGCACCTTGGTCAATGGGCCGTTTGACTACACGAGCAGCACTTGGAGTCCAAGCCAGAACGAAAGAAGAATAATGTTGGTCACAGGTAGCTTGAGAGTGCTGCGTTTGATGGCACATTGGAACGGTGGATGACACATCTGGATTGACCTAGTGACCAGGAATCAGTAAATGTATCGTGACTGTTGAGGCAACAAGCATCTTGCTTCCCTCTAAACTACAATAAAAGGTCCTATCTGTGTGCGCAACCACTTGCGAACGGGCTAATCAATTTTCGCACCAAAAGGTCAAATATTACTGTAGCCACATACGAATAATAAGTGATAAGGCATTAGCAGTACGCCGGTACGCTGCCCAGCAACCACCACTGGTCGTGCGTGGGCTAAGGATAGTTCGAGAGGCAACCGGTCCCCTACGCAGGCTCGAACCGGTAAGGTCCGGGTTGCAAGGTAGATACCTTGTCCTCTTAGCCACCGGATTTGGAATGTTTTTTCGTCAGGGTTTCTCTAACTACACGGACAATGACCTCATTGATACGAGAAACCGTAATTCAACTATGCTACACACCAAGCAAATGAAAGGGATCAGCGTCGTACTGCCAAAGGAATACGAAAACAATGTACGAAACCACTTATCCATCAACTCCAACGTGCCCGGAAAATGTATGCATTTCTGGTAATGATAAGATGCGCTGCCCGAAGCCGTGATGCCGATGAGCGCATGATGCTATTGATTGCAACTTTCATCTCTTGCAACCGTGATTGTAGCCCCGCTTCACGCTGTTGCGATTGGTTTTACCAGTTCTTGCCTTCGAATTTCCAATATTCGCTAAAGAATTTCCAGTTATCGAGATGCGAGAAAACGATGGTGGAACCACTACCTACCTTTTATCCTAAAAGCACAGGAAAGTACCTGAAGCAAACTGACTGCCATAAAGTAACGGAATTCAAACCAGCTTTAACGGTTAGCACACCATGATTTATTTGGGTGTAGTTTATGGAGACTCGGGTGTCTTGGAAGTAGTATCCGTCAAGTTTCCCTGTTTCGAAAAGTTATACTCAGCTTTCTGGTCCTCCATGTTGAAGGTTCTGACTGGAGTGACACAATTCCATAAGAACGGACCGTTGTATATGTTGCTGTCATATCCTGGCTGCTTCGCAGCGAGGCTTTTAACTCAACGGTTTTGGTTGAAAACCACCTAAGAAATTGCAGCTTAACAGTACTTTAACCAACAAATAACTGATCAAGCCTTCTCTGGTATCTGACGGTGCGCCGTTTCAAAAGCGTAAGTTATCGGTTGCACACACAGAAGGGTGACAGACAGACACTGCTGATTTCACCTTACTGACTTTTTCATCCGATCCAATTGCGCCCAGTGGATTCAAAGTGCTGGAATTCGTTTGCTAATTCACAGTGTGATAGATGGAAGCAACTATAAAGGCAAATCCATCGTTTCTTGCTGTCGTAAACATACATGGACAACCTGAAGCAGTTGCCGCTGCTTCTGCCGCCGCCGCCGCCGCCGCCGCCGCTTCACGCACTATGTCACATAGGCATAACTTTGATGTCACTGATAAATCCGAGCGTAGTAAAACGCAAGAAACCACAGAGACAATTAGTTTTTAAGAGTGTAGTCAGCTACGGGTAAACACAAGTGTAACGTGAAAAATTATCTTGACTGTCAAGTCACCTCTTGAATTGTGGTTGGTGATAGTCGAACATCGCGGCGAGTGGATACGACTGGGGAAGAGTGAGTCATGAGCGTCGCGTTAGGGATGATAGATCAGTAAATGCGGATCAGTGTTCTCAACGAAAGACGGTGGGCTGTGAGAAAGCGGAGAAGCGAGAGCAGGTAGCGAGACAAAAAAGTAAAGGTGCAAAATGTACAAATGAACATCGCAAGGAAATCAATCGACTTAAAAGCCGTAAGGAACAAGTCGCGAGACTGCATTTAGATAAGTATCTTTTACTTTCGAAGCATTTTTTGCAGGATAATGAATGAATGAAACAAACTCAGCGTTGGGAGGATCAACGCCGAAACCCCTCCAAAATAAACAGGCGAACGGAAAACGGGAGCTAGTGAAAGCGGACTGACGCCTAGGAGAAAATACAATAACAGCATATTAGGCCGACGCTTCGTTACCATAGAACTAAAATTGTACTGCTGATGAGGACTAAAACAGTGCAGGTGCCAAAGCGTAACACCAAGATCACCCAAGCAAATTTTAGTTGACGTCTATTCTAAGCCAACAATGCATGCTCATCAAGCCAAGATAACGTGTTAGCGGCCAGAAAGTTTCCTAGTGGCTTCTGCTGGAACGTGTCGTAGCCGAGCTTACCTTTGTATTAGCGCTTTTGTATAGATCTGGTTAGCTCATACATATCATACCTATCGCCAATTCAAGTAATATATATATATATATATATATATATATATATATATATATATATATATATATATATATATATAAATTCCAGCATTAGATCTGAGTTATTGCAATGCAAGAATTTACTGGTTCAACAACAGTAAACAAGTTCGACACCAATCTAAATGTGACGGATAATCAAGTCATCAGCAGTACGCCGGCATACTGTACCGACGCCTCGCTGCCACCGGTCGTGCATGGGTTGAGTATACTGCGAGGATGTTTTCCCCTACGCGAATCCGAATCGGTGAGCTAAGGATTGCAAACCAGGCGTGCAATCCTTTCGGCCGCCGAATGCGCACAATTATTTGACTTATTGATTTCGGACATTCAACGTCTTTGTAAAACGAGCTCAGCCTGCTGACGCGAACAACCTGGACATGCATTGACAGTGTTAACGGCTTTTCAGTTGGATACAGAAAATAGCCTATACAAAAGCCGTGCAAGTTTCCAGCATAAATACCTCCGTCGAGTTACTGAATGACAGAATGATACGGACCTAAACTGATCACATGATCTATAAGTGTCAAACTGCTTGGAAGCTTTGAGCATTCTTTTCAACCGGATTCAAAAACAACGAAGCCGGCAATGGAATATGGTAATATTTGCAAACAATTGAAAGCAACAAATGCACAACATTTCAACAAGCTGTGCTTCTAGCACATGTGTATCAAAACGGCAACCCAATTCAAATTAACCAAAGTATTGCTTCAAGTCACATGTGGAATAAACTATCGTCTCAATGTACAGGAGAAATCAGAGTTCAATACAGCTTAGTTGAACATCTATGATCAAAGCAAAGAAGTGCGGTGGATCCAGCTGTCACGACTCATACCGTGAGAACAACGGTAGAACAGTGGATTTGGGAGCGAATAAATGTGAAAAAATAGAAACAAGAAGGAAGGAAGGAAGGAATAAGAAGATTGGGGCGAAAATTGAGAACAAGATGAAAGAAACTGAATGCAGGAAATCCACTGACTGTGTGACTGCGCCATGTTTGACACGGTTTCCAACCATTGGTGTGGATCATCTCGTGGCCCCCATCCACGAAGACGGCATGCGTTAGCCTGAGCAAGCCACTCAGTCAATTTCTTGATATTTCTATGCCACGTCATGGGCTGACCAACTTGTGGCCGGCGTATAATACATGCCGAGGAAGCTGATCAACGGGCATACGGAGGACATGGCCTAGATAGGGCAAGCAACTAAGCTGTATCAAACACTCGAGAGGCACTAGAAGGCTTCTTGCTAAAAAGCAACTGCGGAACCTCAGCACTGCTCACCCGATGTTCCCACCAGACGTGAGCAATAGTCCGCAAGCACCGGTGGTCAAACACGGCCAAACGTTTAATGTCTTCACTGCGAACTGGCCAGGTCTCCGATCCATAGTGTCATAAACCCTTATTTCCACTAACAGACTGACATCTCGCCGCCTCCATAAATGGTTAAACCACTAAAGCCACATGGGTCTTCCTGATACGCGAAGTAACTTCCTTGATGATGTGACCACCAGAGGTGACATGGCTACTAAAGTAAGTGAACCGATCCACCACTTCTAGTGGCTGTTCGGAAATAACTAAAATCGAAGGTGTGTCGGAACAGTACTGCAACAGCACTATGAATGTGCAAAGTACATGCCGAAGCATGCAGCACTATGCACAAATGCGCGCAGTAGTGTCTGCATAGCGACTGCATCAGACCCAAGGAGAACTATGGCGTCCACATACTCCAGGTTAGTCAGTCGGTCGCCTGGCAGAACTTCTACCCAATAAGAGCCTGAAAGAACAGTCATTCATGATCAGAGTAGAAGAGGAAAGAAGGTATAAGACAATTCTGGCCAACTCCAATTGTCGTAGGGGAACTAGGGAGGCAGTGTCCAATAGACGCTTACACGGCCTCGGGAGTCACGGTTGAGAGACGGAATAAAGTGAAGGAATTTAGCCCGCACGCTCTTCATGGGTGGGCAGTGTGACAACCTGTTTCGACCAAAAGAGTTCAAGGCGGCTTTCAAGTCAAGGAAAAGCATCACAGTCAAGTCCTCTGTATGTGTCACTGCTCGAAAACTTGGCAAAGAGTAAATATGCCGTCGATGAAATCACGGCCAGGGCGGAAGCCAGCCAGGCTTTCCGTGATTCGGTCCTCATGCGCACCAGTAAGTCACCATCATCACCAAGAATAACAACAACAGCACATCAATTTGAACTGATGCTTTGATGCCATACAACTATGATGACCTATGGAATAAAGAATAATAAGATGGAGAGAAGGAGGACTTACCAGAAAAGCTCAATGCCTTAAGCAAACATTTGGGGTCAAGGAACCTAAACGTTGTGTAGACAACATACTGTCACAAACAGCTGGCTATCGTGCAAAGATAAGGCGGCATCGGCGAAACAGCTTCCTTGCGGCTTTCACTGCCCCGCGTCATAATCAGCCATTACCCCGCTGATAACTCAGCACCAAACACACTTTAAAGTGCACTCTGACTAAGAGACGGCAGCAGACGCGCCACTGGTGTCGGTTGCGAGCCATGTCATGCAAAGTCTTCAGCCAAGCACAAGACGAGTCACATGGACTCCAGCCCGGAAGGCGAGACGGACCAACGGCACCCAGTTTGGTCGTCAGTGACTTCATTTCCCGCTGCCAAGTCAACTTCTGTCCACCTCAAGCTCTGCGCCATCCTACACCTGGCAGACTAAACAACGCCCTCCTAGGTAAGCGGTGACCAGGCATACGTAACACGTACCCAAGCCAACGCAACTTATTCACTGTTATCTGTTGTTCTAACAAGCTAGCATGGTTATCACTACCTAGTACTCGCCTACACACATCATCGTTGCGGACATGCTGGTGCTATCCGACTCCAGCAATGCTTCGCTAACCACAACGATCAAAGACTTGAAGGCACCTCAGATCTTCAGACCGAAGGGGCCAAGTCTCACTCCCATAGAGCAGGACGGCCCTCACTGTTGCCTAGTATACACGGCCATTCATACGCACGGAAACTCCCTTCTGTCGTCAAAGATGCCGCAGGTAAAAAAAGGCAGTTCTGGCCTTTGCAGTGCGTGAGCTGACGTCAGTTTCTATGTGCCCATCGTTGCTGATGCAGCTGCCAAAATAAGTGAATTGATCAACCAGCTCAAGCTCTTCGTTAGCAAGCGTCAAGGGATCATCAAGTGGCTGGTGGTCCTGCAGCGACACTTTGCACTTTAAAGGTGCGAAGTGCATACCAAATAATGGGATGACTCTAGACAAGTTATTGAGGGTTGATTGGACCACCGTAGCATAGTCAAAAAGCAAGTCGATATCGTCCGCATAATCAAGATCAACTAATCTTTCACCAGGCAGCACTTGAACGCCTACATCGTGAGATTCCGTAAGGGAACACTCCATGATAGAGTCCACAATGAAATAGAACAAAAACGGAGAAGCCGGATAACCATGAAGAACGCCACTTGTGTTCGGAAAGTTATTCGATAGGACACCGTAGACCCTGACGCGGCCTGTAGTGTTCGAGTATAGAGCATGTGAAATGTCCACATATTTCGTGGGAACACCTTCCGCGCAAACATTTTGAACAGAATCGACCGATCGACTGAATCGAACGCACTCTTGAAATCGAGGAACACAGCTATTGTAGGTCTGCGGTATGCGTGGCGCTGCTCTAGCACCTGCCGCAAAGTGAATATATGGTCTATACAGCCACGTTCTGGGCGGAAACCTGCCTGCCCTTCCATAATCCGAGATCCTAGTTCCAAAGTGAAGCGACGAACGATAATCGAGGCCAGTAATTTTGTCATAGCTGGCGTTAGGCTAATACCCCTGTGGTTAGCACAGTCTGTGCGACTTCCCTTCTTGTGTATTGCCACTATAATCGATTCACTCCAGTTAGACGGGACACTTCCTCCTCCTTCGAATAGAGATGTCAGTGCTTTGCAGAGGACCTCACCTCCATCCTTAAATAGTGCAGGTGGGAAGGAATATTGGCCAGCAGCACGAAAACGATTGACGGCTGTGATCACGTTACGGACCTCGGTCTCCGGCGGAGCCTCTAAACTAACCGTCCATGACTCATCCTTCATCACCTGAGTAGAGAAAGGTCCGGGAGCAGGAGGCCAGCTGAACTGAGCTTGAAAGTGTTCTGCTCAACGAGACATACGTGCTCCTGATTATGCATCAGTGCATTTGCGCTGTCTCTGATTGCCTCACTGACGCCTGGTTTCCTGGGACCAGTGGTGCGGATCAGCTGAAAGATCTTGCGGTAATTGCCTATTGCTCCTCCTCCTCCATTTTTGAGCCATACTGGTCCACCAGGCTTCCTCGTCAACAGGCAG